GAACGTGGCATCAGGACTGGAGAATGACTCATTAACAGCCTATGATATGCCCATGACACAGCTTTACTTGCTGAAAGCAACCAATTATACTGATCATCTCCAAAGAAGTTGGACTCAGTAAAATTAAATTGGAGAATTAGCCAAAAGTAAAGGTTCCAGCTACTGCAATGTTCATCGCTTTACGGACATCCCCCTGGGCTAGATGTCACCCTGGATCATAACGTGGCGAGCCAGAAAGCACCACCTCCGATCACTGCCGAGTCCCTCCTGGCCGCATCCGCGATGGGCTCCCCCTCGTCGACTGGTCCTGAGTCACCTACAGGGGGAAAAGGAGAGCACGACGGTGAGAAACGCATGGACAGAAACAAGGAATCATCCTCGTGGGCTAGAGATCTGAGTGGTTTTAACCATAGAACTGTCAACTGCGGTGGGAATATTTAAAAGAACTGGGAAGCAAGCTGACGGCTAGGAACTCCCACCCCAGAATCCAGCCAGGCCGGCCTGGACCGTGCCCACCTGCTCGCGCGTGCGTGAGCTCCCGCGCCGCGCCGTCTCCGGCGCCGCAGTCCGACGCGCTCACCGGCCCCCGCACGGAGGTGAGCGCGGGTCTGCCCGGGCTCAGCGCCGCCTTCAGCGGGGCCAAGCGCTCGAACTGCAGCCCCGACAGGCAGCCGGCGAAGCCCTGCGCTCCAGCCCGCGCCGTTTCTGGGTCCACGTGGCCGCCGGGCTCTGCAGGGGACAGAGAAGTGTATTAGTGGGGCGGGGCCATCAGTAGGGCGCGCAGTCAATCGGGTCGTTGTCAGTTGGGGCTCGGAGTCAGCCGGGGCGCAGTTAGCGGTGGCTGGTCAGTGGGGGCCCAATGAGTGGCAACGTGGGCAGTGGGGGAGGGTCAGTGGAGCGCAGGATTCCCAGGGCGCTCTGGGAGCTTGGACAGGAGGGCACAGAGGCTGGATTCCTGGCACATCAGTCAATTCCTTCCTCTCCATAGAAAGGCCACTTTAAGTAACAACCATAAAGTGAAATGCAATAATGGCAGGAAAAGAAAACAGCGAAGAAAAGCAAATTGTGGATTTACAAGTACCTCAAAAAATAAAATAAAATGCACTCAAAAAGTAAAATAAAACAATAATGCTCATAGAAAAGGGGGGAAATAATGGATTAATACTTTTTAAATTGTGTTAATGATTGTTTTGAGAAGGGAAAA